AAAAGGAAAGCAACGTGAATCATGCTATCACTATCCTCATGTTGTCAGATTCATCCTCACAGAAGCACAGGTTTTTCTTAAAAGCTATGTACTAAGTCTCACTAGGGTTTCCACTTCAAACTAAGATGTTTTCCTATTTTGCTTGCGTCCTATGAACTAAACATGAGCTGGTGTGTAAGCCAGTTGATTAATCTCCTTTAAAATTAAATGATACTTTAATAATAGTAGCGCTTGTCTTTGAATGACTAGTATAGGATGTATGACACATTGTTATTGCTCTTTCTGCAAAACCATACATGAATTATTCAAGAACTCCATAGGTGTTTCTAACCACAGTTCACTGATGCAACAACTAAAGCAGTTAGATGATTTATCTACATAGCAAAGAGAAGAGGCAATACCCAAATATAAGACTATGCAACTTCAAAATCTTAATTCCATTATTATTTTTAAAAGGTCTCATAATAATTACATTTATGTTGAATTGAGCCAAATGAGAATTTGAGGCCTTATTTAAAAGAATGGAATTATATTCATGAATGTAAATGTCATAGTGAACCATATTATTTTAAAAAAAATTAATACACACTAATAAAAACTGCTAGTACTTGGAAGTGATGATATAAGCTTCTTTAGACGTTTATGTAATTTGGAAAATTAAGTCATCTTCCAATCACAGCAGGAAGTCTTAGTACTGGATGATGAAGAGAACAGGAAATCCTTTACCATAAAAATGGACACAAAGGGCACCAGAGAAAGTGTAAGGAGAAAAATATGATTTGGTGTCATTTTTAAATTCTCAACATTTTGAATTTCCCAAGTCCTATAGATACTGATTGGTGGGTGAAAAACAATATAATTTTGTAAAATAAATTGCATTCATTTGCGGCAATGTTGCACAATTGATTTCTTATTTACTTTATTTTGCTTCAGATGGCATACTTTGGAACACATTTTTGAGCTCCTTCCTTCTCTGTCTTCTCTTTCTCCTCTCCTCTCTTTCTTTTCCTCCTCAGCTCTATCTTCTCTTTAGCAAATTTCCTGAAAACCTGAAGTCTTGAATACAAATTTTGTATAACCATCAAACACTGAATGTGCCCTTTCATAGCCCCATCTTAGTAATCAGTACTGTCTCGCCTCATCTTCTGTCTTAATACACACTTCACATGTCCCAATCAACAATTGCTACCCACCATCTTCTTTGTCCTTCTTCACATCTAAGTATTCTTAGACCTGTTACTATAGCCACATTTACACATTTCAAACCAGCAGTGATTGGCTTCCTTATCAATGCTGTTCCCCTAGAAAAACTTTTCCTGGACACAGCTCTTCTTTGTGTTCTAATATACTTCCACTGGCCGTTACAACTTTTTATTTCTTTCTAAAGTGGATGAGGAAATCAGTTTAAATGAGAAAAAAAATCAGTTTAGCTCAAGGTTTCAAAGTTTTGGTCCATGGTTACCTAGCTCTGTTGTTGCTGAGTTTGTGGTAAGGCAGAGAACATTATGACAATGAGTAGAGCCAAACGAACTGCTCATCTCATGGTGGCCAAGAGGCAGAAGAAGTCCGAGGTGGGGGTGGGGGTATGGACAAAGAACAAAGGACAAAATGAGCCCTTCACAGGAATATCGCCAGGGACTTACATTCTTTCTCCAAGTATGCCTGAGCCTAATAGTTCTCTGCTGTCTCTCAATCTCTCATTAAGATTGGCCCCATAAAGTATTAATCCACTCATGAGCTTAGAACCAGTTTGACTCAATCAGTAATTTTCCCAAAGGCACTAACTAACTCTGACTCTGTGCAATGAAGGAAAAGCCTTCAACACCAGAACTCCAGTGTAAACAATGAAGACTGAAACTATACGAAATCACCACATATATTTATTTACTTTGGAATTGTTTTCCTATATACACCAATCAAATAAAGGAACCTCCCCAAAGCTAGTGACTTTGTTTATCATTTTTACCTTCATAACCATTCACTGGCCCATAAAATATTTTAAGTAGATATTTTACAAATGAAACATGAGAATGCAAAAATGAATGAATGTTCATTAGCAGGCTTCAGGCCTAAATGTTTGTATGCATGTCTATATTCATTAACTCACTTGCTATATGACTCTTACAGCCGACATCTCATAATGCAGTATTGTTCAAATTCTTCCTAAACAGAATATTTTTATTACTTGGAGGGATCCAAGGATGCTCTTCTTTGCGGTTTCAGCACAGATTCAGGGTATGTAACATTTGCTCTGCTTTCAGTTTAAGTGTTGCAAACAAAAAATCTCATGCTGAAGAGCAAGTCTATATTAATTTTCACAAGTTTCATGGCATTGACTTTGCTCATTTTATCTAAGAACGAGAACACAGACTTTAAAATGTTTATAGTTGATGCGTACTCTGGAAAGCAAGGCTGACCATGAGCTAAGACTTCAATCATAACAAAATACTGGTCAGGGGAATCTTGAGATATAAAAAAATTTCTTCCTAAAAACTCATTCAAAGTTAGTTGGCGAGTTTAAGGGTTCTATTCTTGGAAAGGAGAGTAACAAAACAATCAATCTCTTGCCATCTCCATGTTCTCCATGGCTTAACATAGTAAGATAACGGAGTGTACTGCTCTGACCGCTCTGCACAGGATCCAGTAGACTAGATATTTGAGACCCTTCTGTTTATGCAAATGCCATTTTGCTGTTTCTCCATATGGCACCTTCAGTTTCCAGGGGAGCTTTGCTCCTGCTCTGTCTCCCATGAAGGCATCTCTTCATCAGGCTCTGAGAACTCTGCCAACCTCAGAGTGAACATTGCTCCTCCCCTAAGCCCACAGGACACAATGTTCATCTAAGGCAACTAAAAGCCTAAGTGGCAGTTTTAGGAAGTAAAATGTTTTAAAGCCACAAATTTTTATGAACATTCACAAATGTTCTATCATTGCTGTTCTTGGGACTAATCCATTCCAAGAATAGACTTCAGAGAAGCCATCTTGCCAGAGGCCTTCATATCAAACCCTATTGATTCGAGAAGATAAACATAATGTGACTTATACCGTCTACCATTTACTAAATGGTGCTATGGGCAGAGAGTGTGTAAATCATGTTTTTAAGTTCAAAATCAATCTTAAGTTTTTGAGGTAATTTATTTTGTTGTTTCCACTGGAAGAAAGTGTACCTTTGAGAATTTAAGTAATGTGGTGAAATACTCAATTAGTAAATAGTAGAATGGGATTTTTTGCCCTTTCTTTCTGATCCCAGATTACATACTCTTAGCTCTTACACAATACTGAGCCTCAGAAATGATCCTCACACTTCAACCTCTGATCCTTAGCTACATGCCAAAGATATTCTGACCTATAGTTTTCTTGTTCATCTGTAGGCAGTGTCCAGAAGGCTACACCTGTACAAAGATTGGCAGAAACCCAGATTACGGCTACACAAGCTTTGACACGTTCAGCTGGGCCTTCTTGGCATTGTTTCGGCTAATGACTCAAGACTACTGGGAGAACCTTTACCAACAGGTGAGCAGCAACAGAAACACGCATGTTTGGAGGCCATCAGTGTCTAGTGTACATGTCTCCTGTCTTATGAGTCATTGTAATTGCTGCTGCTTTCATTTTGTTTTTGCGTACAGCCTGGGACTCCCTGATGTGCATTACTAAAATTACAGACAATTTACATGGCTGATATGAGAACAGATAATTCTTAAGTCATCAATAATTTTCTGCTGTGTTCTGAGCAGCATTAATTTTTAGGTTTTTCATCTTCTTCCGTATATCCACTGGGTCTGACATAAAGAGCAGAGGACACTGCAGTTCTCTTGAGCTGCCTTGGCAGACTCAGCATTTTGTTCACATTCCCAGGCTGTCTGTACGAGAGTGACTCTCCTGGAATGGGCCCACTATGCTTTAGTGTTGAGCAATTATTTACAGTGAACTCTCAGATCCTCTCCAAACTTTCCATTCCCTTGTCAACTACTTCCTCTTTGACCCTTTAAACATTTCTCAGCTTATAATATCAACCTCCCATATTGTAACTGTCCTTTCACATGGCCATCTGCTCTAGCATAGTGCTGGCTCATTACAGGCTCTGTGTATTTATTCTAGAGTCTCAACACCCCATCCCCAAAGGAAGGTGGTTGAGATAGGTATTCTATTATTCCTTGTTACAGTAAATTTCTTTTCTCAGAGTTGCTACAGGCTTATTTTATACTTAATTCTGTGAATATTGTAAATGGCTATAAAATTATATTTAAAAAGACCCTCTAAAGTAACTAAAATAATTTGGGGGCAGAAATGAAATCTTAGACTATTATATTACTGACCTCACATGCTTTATCTTGCTTTATCTTCCAAGAACATATACAGTGCCACAGTCATGAATCACCATAGCAGTCCCCAGCTTAATAAAATGGAAAAGAAGGTCATTTTAACTCAAAATTAAAGACACATAAAAAAGACCACTGACATAATTGTACAAGGGAAGTCCAAAGATAGGCATAATTAAGTTGAGATATGGATAGCTAGGCTTTCTCACACATTGGTAGTAACCTTTGCAGAAAGTTAATGAAAATCAAAATGAATTTTTCATCAACTTAATAATTCCACTCTTAGGAGTTTATTCAGGAGAAAAACAAGAATTATAATGGAATGATAGAACAGGGGATCAAGTAACTAAACATTAAGGATTTCAGCAGTAGGTAAATTTTATTAATATCTCTGCACTATTTTGAATTAATCTAAAAATGCACTGCATGGCAGAAGATACACTGCATCTTAAACTTTTTAATGGTTATACCAGATTAAAAAAATAAATATCTGTGAGGTCAATAGATAAGTTTCTTCCATAGGTTATCTGTCTACATCAAAGACTGATATTATAATTCATGCATTAAAAAGGAAAGAATAGAATTTAACAATAAAAGGGACTTGTTTCAAAAAGTTAGAAGACAGTATGGGAAGAAAAGTTAGTGTTACTTCCGATAAAGTGGAAAACGAAGAATTGTTATATTATATTTCATTCTAATGAAAAATCAAACCTTAGTATAGATATAACATTGCTGTATCTTTTATACTAAAATGTTTAATACTGATTTTCTTCAAAGATAGCATGTTCATTTATCTGTCTATAACACAATTAAATGAAAAATATCTGGTTTACATGTTCATTATATACCAACCACAATAAAAAACCTTAGTGAAATTTTTGTATTACTAAAATAACCATTTCTCTTTTTTGATCCCATAGACTCTGCGTGCTGCTGGCAAAACCTACATGATTTTCTTTGTCGTGGTGATTTTTCTGGGCTCCTTTTATCTGATAAACTTGATCCTGGCTGTGGTAGCCATGGCGTACGAGGAACAGAACCAGGCCAACATCGAAGAAGCTAAACAGAAAGAGTTAGAATTTCAGCAGATGTTAGACCGACTCAAAAAAGAGCAGGAAGAAGCTGAGGTAGTATTCGTTATTACAAATATGAAGACACGGGGTGGAGACTAAGGTCTTTACTTGGAAATTCTCTTTCAGTAGTCTACACGTGTTCTCAGCTGAAAGGCCAAGAAGTACTTTTTGTTTTCGATATAAATAGCATCCTTTTGTTTCTAATATGCTTGAAGGAATGAGCTCTAAACTAAGCTTTGCACAATAACCTCTGTTTTCTAGCAGATGTTCTGAAATGTCTATTATATGCCTATCACCCAGAATGCTTCAGTGTGACTGTTGATAAGAATATAAAAATTGTGTATACATTTTCAGCTATAGTAGCTTTCTTAGGCAACTCCATACACAGTCTATTCTGATTGTCACCACCCTAACCCTCTCTTGCTTCCCTCCCACCCCATTACATGATAATCCCTCCCCTTTCTAGTCCCTTTCCCACAGCCCTGTCTTTTTCTTGCCTTTTTTTTCTAACCCACTGCATTTAACCAGGGCTATCTGTATCCATGGATTAACTACTACTCACTTTAGCCTGGTGCTGAAGACAATGTCTGCCCCTCGTACAGAATCCATCAGTAGCTCATAATTCAGCAGGATGTGGCTACAAAGGCTCTCCATATATATGAATGAATGCTGACAGACTCGGTCTTGCACAAGCCTACTGCTGGCCTCTGCTTCCATAATGTCATGATTGCATCGATTGTGTTGTTAGTACAGCACAGAATTTCATAGCTCCCATCCCTGTCTTCTAGGCTCTCACACTCTTCCTGTCACTACCACAGCTTTGTTCCTAGAACCTTGGAGAAGGATATGAATGTCCATCTGAGCTGAGCACCCAGCTGTCATTCTCAGTGTCTTCAGCAGCCAAGCATCTCTTCATTCACTACCTTTCACTGGCAAGAGCAGTTTCTCAGTAAAGACCGAAAGTAGCATCTGTTGATAGGAACAAACAAAACTCTTTAGGAAGCAGCTTGTCACTATGTCAATTTAGTTAGTTAGCATTAGTAAGCTCCCAGATAGGACTTAGGGCCTCCTTATTCACGGGTTTGTAAATTAGTTGATAGTACCAGACATAGATTCTGTCTTGTGACGTGACCGTCATAATCATAAGAAATTTTAACTGCAATGTCAAAGTTAGTCTACAAGGTAGAAAGAGTGTTCATTAACTTTTGTTAATGTTATAAAACAGCCATCTAGTGATTGAGACCACTTACTTATTAGTAAGACACAGGTGCCGGATAAACCTCTGCAAAGGCATTCTTCCAAAGAGGCTGGGAACACTTGTTCAGACACAGATAACCCAAAACAGAAAAAGCTTTAAAACATGTCAGGGTGTTTGAATAGTTAATCTCCTGAATAATTCTCAAATTAGCCCAGGGCAATAATCCGTGATGTGGAAAAGCACAGATACATAAATAAGTGTTGTTTAGTATTTAAATAATGTTAAAATTCAAAAATACAATTCATTTTCCTGAAAGTCTAAGAACTTACAATAGGATTATGGTATTTCTGTGTCTTAACACTTTATTCATCTATAAAATTTTGCATTTTGAGAAAATTCTGCCATGAGGAAAAAGCTGATAAAATAATAATGGGTGGAATGATAAGATGCACTCACAATTTAAATATTACACAAATATATAAATGATCTAGAGAATTATTTACCACAGACCCTTTCTTTTTTTATAATTTATTTATTCTCAAATCGTAATTCATTCACACAGGGGTTATAAACACAGAAAGGAAGGATGTGGGGAAGGGAATGACACTGGAGTGTGGGTGTTCAGGGGGAATACGGATATCTTCAGAACCGGGTATCAGCCACAGACCCTTTCTGATGGTATGATTGCAAGTACTTTTCTACTTTCTTTTTTACATTCTATTGGTTAGTTTTTTTCTAGTTTTCTTAAATAATTTTCTTTTAGTCTTGTAAAATTCATACACAGATACAATAAAATATGATTATACTCAACCCCCTCCCAATTCCATGTCCTTCTTTTGATAACCCTCTAAATATAATTAGTATGGCCCATACGTGCATAATTGTGGGGCATCCCTTGGACTACAGGAAAACTACCAGTGGCCACTCACTCAAAGAACCATGAATCTCCCTCCTCAGCTGCCATTAACTACCAGTAAGCTCCTCAGTAAGGGGTGGGACCCAGACAGAACCTCTGTCATCTCTGTCTGAAATTTGTTTGGTTTGCTCTTGTACAGATCTTGTGCCGGTAACCTCAGTTGCTGTGAGTTCTTGAGTACAATGGCCACATCCTGCTCAGAATCCAACATTTCATAGTTCTAATACCCATTCTCTGGCTCTGACATTATTTTACCTCCTTTTCCATGATGCTCCCTGAGCCTGGTTGTATGGGGAGGGGATTGAGAGATGTTCTGTTTAGGGTTGAGCACTTGTTTCTTATTCTTATTACTTAGACCAGTTGTGTGTATTGCATTAACTCTTTTCCCACTGAAAAAACATAAGCTTGTATGACCAAGGCTAAGGACAGCCCATGTCTGGGTGTAGAAACATAAATATTTAGAAGACATCTTAACACTGTGTCATTCAGCCTAATAACCAGGAACAACATAAACCCTATGGTAGAACGTAGTACTATTATTTTATTTTTAAAGAGCATTTTAAAGACATGATACAGGTTCCTTCTATATCAAGTATACTTCAGTTTTGAGATATCACCAAAATCCTAAGATAATCATTGACCTTTACTATTTTTCTTGACAGACTATTTCCTTAGTAACTTATTTTCGTTTTCAGATACACCACTCTCATTATGCTACTGGGTGCCTGTTTCTACTGGTTGCACTGAGTTGCTTATCTAATAAACAAATATATTATACAAATGTTTTATATTTTGTATTATATATTTATATTATAGAAAGATTTATGCAAATATATTATACAAACATACTGATACACAATTTATGGGAGTTTTATATCGAAAAGTACCTGTAAGTTTTTAACACATTTAATACTTCAATTTGTTTAAGTCTAAGGAAGTTTATAACACACAAACGTTGAGCTGCAAAGCTACTGATACGCTATTATGTGTGATAGGAAGATAATAGGCTTTGTATGCTTATTGGTCATAATGCAACAAAACATATGTCACTTCCTGTATGAGTAGCTGCATGCACAGGGTGGGTACCCTGCATCTTGCTTTTTCACAATTTGGAAATTACTTAAATGCTGGGATTGTCTTGGTCCAACAGGCGATCGCTGCAGCCGCTGCTGAGTACACGAGTGTAGGGCGGGGCAGAATGATGGGAATCTCTGAGAGCTCTTCAGAAAACTCCAGGCTGAGCTCAAAGAGTGCCAAGGAGAGAAGAAACCGAAGAAAGAAAAAGAACCAGAAAAAGATGTCCAGTGGCGAGGAAAAGGGTGACGATGAGAAGCTGTCGAAGTCAGGATCAGAGGAAAGCATCCGAAAGAAAAGCTTCCATCTCGGCGTGGAAGGGCATCACCGGTCCCGGGAAAAGAGGCTGTCCACCCCTAACCAGGTACTGCGAACCCACCAGGTGTGCTCCACAGCCGAAAGGTAGCAGCACAAGGTTTAACTCTAGGCTCAAGGCCCAGGAGAGAAAGGCGGCTGCACCACCATGTTTTACAAAAATCCCTTCTACTGGGCATTCATGGAAAGAAGAGAAAAGTATATGTTTTTCTTTCTTTCTTTTTTTTTTTCATAAAAAGCTTGTTATTTCAAAATTGCCATATCTTTTCTAGGAAACATTTTTTTATATAAAAGAAAACGTTCCTGAAAACTGTATGGATGTAGAAATTGTTTACTCCATAGATTAATTTTCATAATTGTATTCAGTCAATCATTTTATTATCTCATTCATGATAAGATCATGAGGAAAGGAGAAGAGAGGGAAGAAGAGAATAGAGGAGAGAAGGAAAGAAGAAAGGAAGGAAGGGAGGAAGGAAAAAGAAAGGGAGGGAGGGCATCTAATCTCTGACTGGTACATCTAACTTCTTCAATTCTGTAGACCAGCATGTACCAAAGCACCAGGCACCCTATTTGGAATTTGTTCAAGCCTTTGGCATCCTTCAGCCCATGCACAGAAACTGCTGATTGATTAGTGAATGAATTTCTCCCCTCTGGAATGTCTTTCTCCTTGTCTTGTTTTTCACATTGAATCCACATCCTGGTTCCCTGCAAGCCAGTGAGGTGAGCCATGGCTCCAGAGCCCCTAAACATGCACACATCACCCACTCCACCTCCACTGTTAACACAGAAGTATACATAAGGGTCACTCTGCTGAATCAACACGAAAGACCAAGGGTCACAGCTTATGCAGATCACCAATAGGCTGTGGCTCCCTTACCTCAGCTTCCTCTAACCTTCCAGGACTCCAATTCCCTAACTGGGATGCTCACTGTATCTGAAGAATTTTACTCTTTCCTTGCCTCTCACACACATTTTTCTTTTTCCCAAGACTGGCCTCAAACCCTCCATTATAACCAAGGATGACCTAGAACTTCTAATCTTCCTCCTTCTACCTCTCCAGTGCTGGGATTATAGGTATTGATCACCATGCTCGCTTTACGCAGTTTTGGGATTTGAACTTAAGACCATATGCAGAGTGGGCAAGCACACTGCCAACTTAGCTATATTCCCAACTTAGCAGTCCCTTCTCACTGATAATTTTCTTCATTAATTTTTCCGGTCACAGAAGCATTTTCTTCCTCTGTTTTTGCTCAAGCATCCTATCCCCCGTAATCCTGCAAACATTCCTTTGTGCTCTGCGTTCTTCCGACCTGATCTTCCATGCAATGTCAAGGATTAATTTTCATTGTCTTTGCCATAGATTGAAGTTTCCAGGCTCTGTTACTTAGGACTGCTGACTACCATATAAACACAGAAGTTAAAGACAAGAATCCATCTTTATCTGTAAACACTACAATCCAGAAGAAAAATGGATCTTGAATCCATATGATGCTAGCATAAAGACAAGAGGGAGTTCATGCTTGTTCTGTGGCAAAGCTCATGTCCTATTTATTTGCCTTTGTTCCCAGTGCCTGCCAATCACTTGTCCTTTATATAGAAAGCACTTACACGTATTGGATTTGGTACTTCTATATAATCTGCTCTGGATTTTCACTTACGGGAAGAGTTTATCCTGGATAGGAGTCCTGCAGAGGTGACAGTTTCCCCCTGTTCCCTTGAGAGCAACTCCCCACCCCATCCCCACATACACATGCAGAGCTGTAATAGTCCCTGTCTCTTAATTTCACTGGCTATTAGAGCCCTTAAGGCACATCCAACTGCCTGCAAGTCTATACACCGGTGAGTTCCCTAGACCTTACCATGGAAGGAAACAACTGGTCTCCAGACTCATGCCTTACCACAAGGCTCTCTGCCCAAAACTAAATACAACTTTAAAGTTTCAATTTCCAAGGTAACTTAGGAATTGATAGATGATAAAACTAAATGATGAGTTTTAGTATTAGGATTGGACAGATCCTTTTCCTTGTTCTGGGGATGAATTCTTCTAATTATTACAGCCTTTATTTGTTAGAATTAGGGCATTTGTTGTATTGCTTTTCCTTTAAATATGTTTCTTCTAAACAAACACAGGATCACAGGTCTCAGGCTAAAGATTTAGTGGTAATTTCATGAAGTCTGTTCTTATTTGTAGGAGCTCCAGCAGACGCTTTCTGTTTTTTTTTTCCCCACAGTCTCCACTCAGCATCCGTGGGTCCTTGTTTTCTGCCAGGCGCAGCAGCAGAACGAGTCTCTTCAGTTTTAAGGGGCGAGGAAGAGATCTAGGATCTGAGACAGAATTCGCTGATGATGAGCATAGCATTTTTGGAGACAACGAGAGCAGAAGGGGTTCACTATTCGTACCCCATAGACCCCGGGAGAGGCGCAGCAGTAACATCAGCCAGGCCAGTAGGTCTCCACCAGTGCTGC